TTATATTTATATATATATACATATACATACATACATATATATATATATATATATATTTTATATAAAATGTGTGTGTTTGTGTGTATATATTTATATATATCAATTCATGATAGAAGTTAACGTGTATTTATGTTCAAATCTTATTACCGCAAAAGTTGTGATCACACAAAGAGTTGCATTTTACCTACATACACGAAAGTTTATGTAGTGTATCAACCATTTGCCCCTTTACCCTTTTTTGCCATGCACCTTATTTACCCCTTATTCTTACAAGTTGTGAACACACAAAGAGTGACTATATACTACGGTACAAGCTGATGTATATTATCAACTATACACTCATATACCCTCATATATATCACACACCTCACACACACACAGGTTTTGAATACACAAATGCCAGCTGTGTACAAGTTTCTATCTCACCAGATTATTGATGTTTCGACATTTATTGGAGCCGCTCGACGATGGCGACCTGCATTGAGTGATCCCCGCGAATACCAGAGAAATAAGGCGAAGAAGGCCAGAAGAATGGCCGAAAACCTGTCAAAATCGGTAGTAAATGATTCGAAATCGGCAGAAGACGATTCAAAATCGGCAGAAAGTGATTCCAAATTGGCCGAAAATGGAACGAACGAGGCAGAAAAGGAATTGAAATCTAGCACAGATGCGGAGGACGGTGTAGTAGACGATAGTATTGCTGCAAAGAAGGGTGTTGCGAGTGATGTTAGTGGCGCTGCTAGTGAGTATGACGGGCATAGGGCTATGGCTGATATTGAGCGGTCCATTGAAGTGGGAAGATGGGCAAGAGACGTGTTCTTCAATCCTGTGGATAGCAGTTAGAGCTGGGTCCCAGTGGTCGTTCATGCCCTTGGAGAGAATCAATAAAGTACTAATTTGACTATGGATTGCTCTCATAATGTGTTTGTAGGCAGACATAGGTATTGGGGTTGCTTAGTAAGTGGTCGCGAGTGGTGTTACTGTGGTTGCTATTGAGTATACCAGGCGCAGAACTATAGCTACCATCGCGTGGTCTACTGAAGTGGGGAGATGGACAAGAGCTGTGTTCTTTAACGCTGACAGTAGGTATTGCAGCTCAGTTTGATTTTATATGGATTTGTACCTACATACATACATACATACATACATACATATATACATACATACATATATACATAAATACATACATACATACAAACATATACGCACACATAAATACAAACATACATACATACATACAGACATACATACATACATACATACATACATACATACATACATACATACATACATACATACATACATACATACATACATACATACTTACATACATACATACATACATACATACATACATACATACACACATAAATACATACATACAAACATATATACATACATAAATATATACGTACATACATACATACATACTTACATACATACATACATACATACATACATACATACAAACATACATATATACATACATACATACCTACGTACATATATACATACATACATACATACATACAAATATACATACATACATACATAAATACATACATACATACATACATACATAAATACCTACACATAAATACATACATACATACATAAATATATACATAGATGCATACATACATATATACATACATACGATGCATACATCAATACATACATCCATACATACATGCATGCATGCATACATACATGCATACATTCATGCATACATATATATTTAGATACATACATACCTACCTACATACATACATACATATATACATGCATACACACACACACACACATATATATATATATATATATAAAGAAAGTAAATTAAGGTTCATTATTCCTCCCATCATACTAATGCTGTTGTGCCGTTAAATTCAGACCATCCGAAACTTCAAATCGACCCTATGTTTTCAGCTTGACGATTGCTGTTAATATGCTGCCCTGACTATCGGCTTGAGTAGCCGATGTCAGTGCTTCTGAGTATTTATCTCGTACACATATAACCACGGCCTACGATACTGAATACAACGAGAATATGTGCATTTATTATAAATTTGCATTGAATTTAAACCTGTGGAAGTCGTCCATAAAAGTGCACAAACACGAATGTGTGTAACTATATATGTGATAACGACCTAAACCTTCCTCCCCTATTATACGAATACGCCTGAGCCCTCAATCGCACATCGTCAGGGTTCTCATACAGACCCCACCCCTCCAGCCTGACAACCACGGCGGATGCGTTGTCATGACTACCGAGTTGAGCAGCCAATGAAACGAGTTCTTGAGCACCCTCCTCGGGATCTTCGCACGAGTTGACCACAGCACACGCTTGTGCACTGGTGATCATATCAAACACGCCGTCTGTTCCCAAAACTAAGAAGCAATCCTGGGACGTATATGGGTATATATGCTTTTAGATTTTGTTTCAGCCCAGGGACATGAACAGGTAACTCATCGCTGCGTGGTTTACAGTGGCTACAAAGGGTATGTACACATTATATGCCAGAGATGTGAAACGCTCGAAAATACGGCACCCACACTTGCCAGCAAGATATACATACATACATACATACATACACACCTTCTCCGTAAGCTCGAATACACCCACATCCGGTTCCGAAATGACGCCGTACTTCCGGAAGGAAAAGTCCCCCAGCGCACGACTCATCGCCAGTCTCTCATTGACCCTGGCCACCCCATCCAACTCACAACTCACGCGACCCCCACACGCCTCGATGCGCTCCTTCTCCTCCTTTATACTGGGTTTGTGGGAGACTGTGAGGTCCAGTGCCTTAGCCTCGCGACACAGAAAGGCGACCGAGTCGCCGATGTTGGCAACGACGAGCTTGTTGTTATGGATAACGCACATACACGCTGTGCTTCCCGATTGCATGTGTTGGATGGAGTTCAATTGTTCGTCTACCTGTAGTATGATGGTTTGTATATGTGCACTGAGGTTAGACTGCATGTTTAAGGGTATCTGGATGAAATATTTAGTTTTAAACAGTCATGTGTACAATGCATAGCAGAGAAGTTCGATGACTATATATTAATATTCATACATACACACACATATATATATACATATATATACATATAAATATATATATATAGTTAATTATAATTTATATATATATACATATATACATAATATTTAA